GGCCACCCCCCCCCGCCGTTGCCCCGCTGCACCCCACGCCCTGCTCCTCCCGCACCGTCCCCTCTACTCCCTGCTTCCCGCGCCACCGCCACCACAGCACCTCTCCGACGCACGGAGCACCTTTAGCCTTGTCTGTACCTATTACACAGCGGTGTCACTTTGCCCGGTTATACCAATGAACCCAGTGAAGGCGGCAGGTAAAAACAGTTAGAAATGCTCAAATACTGACTGCTAACGCCTAGAAATGCTGGTAGCTTAGAAGGGCAGGTGAAAACAAACCCAGGCCAGCACTGGAGATGACCCAGTGATTAGGCTTTGAGGATACACGCAAACTTGTGTGTCACCTTCTGCTCCTCCGCAACCTTTCTTTGCCCAAGCGGTGGAGGATGCCCCGCAATCCCGCTGCAGCGGTCTGAGCTGCTGTCACCCTCAGCCATCTTATCAGCTGCTCTCTGGCTAGCGACTCCCAGCCCCAGAGCAAAGTCAGCCAGAGGAAATGTGGCCCCACACCTCCGCTGTGTGGGGGCAAACTCCGAGGTACGTGCTGAAACCAGGGCCGTGGGTGGCTTTCGGGCTGCTTACCAAGGGGAAGCCAACCTCGGAGAAGGGTCTGCCTCGTTAGCTGAGCGGCCGTCCCGCCTCAATCCGTCCCATGCGAACCAAAGCCCTGAGACTCCAGCTAACGCCCTGGAGCAGCTGAGGGCGGAGGTGGGCACCCATCCCACTCTGCCATCCCAGGGCAGGGGCAGTAACCTGCAGCAGCAGGGCAGAGTGCCCAGGTGAGAACATTTACACTGCAAAAATTAATTTAACATTTAAATCTGTCCCTTTCCTCATGCCTCAGCTCTCTGCCTGAGAAATAGCGTGATCCTGCCTCCATGTGAGCATGCGAGATGCTTGGAGGTTGCTGTAGAAAGGGACATAAAACTGCCTAAAATTGAGAAGCGTGGCCTTCCTCCATCTCGCAGGCAGGCACGCCGGTCCTCCCGCGCAGGATCGGGACCCGAAAGCGCAAAGGAGCGCGACACAGTTCATACCGTGTACTGCTGTCCCTGCCTATCTGCTAATTTAGTGACGAACTTGGCAGTGGGTGAGTTCAGCAACTTTGGTGGGCAAATGTTTCTGCTTCGAAGCTCCAACTGTCATTCATTCAGAGCAGGAATCTCACTTGCCAACTCGGTACAGAACATTAGGACCAAATACAAATTCCAAAATTCTGCCAGTTCTCCGGAGCTGGGCTGCATTATGTAAC